ATAGTTCTGACACACCCCCATAGGCAAAGTGGGGGAGAACAAGGGGTCACAAGACCAGTCAAGCAAAGCAAAGCAAAGCTCAGGGTGGATCACAAAGTCACCACACATTCCGAGCACAAGTTCAAGGCCACATGGCCAGTTCACATGCAAGATCATATATAGAGATATACAAGAGTCAAGTAAGCAAGAGCAAGAGTATATATAGGCGAAGGTACAAGCAAGGTCAAGAGGAGAGCAAGTGAGGCAAGACAGGCACAAGACCCAACTGCGTGCAACAACGCTGATGATCACAAGGCGCAAGTGCCTTGGTGAAGACATCAGCAGTGTTGGCCTCAGAGGCCACGTACGCAAGTCGCAACTGTCCACGCTGCTGTAGCTCACGAGCAAGAAAGTAGCGGAGAGCAATGTGCTTCGTTCTGTGCTCCAGTCTCTGCTCTCGACACAAGGCCAGCATGGCCTTGTTGTCTACGTACAGGACTGGAGGAGAACGAGGCTGCTCTCCAAGGTCGGTCAACAGGTAGGTGAGCCAGCGTAACTCCTGTGCAGCCATAGCCCCGGCGTAGATCTCAGCCTCACAACTGGAGCCGAGAACAGAAGACGAGCGGGTAGCCCGCCACGAAACAGAGCCGGAACCAAGGCTGAAGGTGTAACCCTGTGACGACCGCTGCGTAGCCTGGTCGTCAGCCCAAGAAGCGTCCGCGTGCCCAGTGAGGACCACTGGACTGCGCCCTCCAAGCACTAGCCCCATGCCCGACGTACTGCACAAGTAGCGCAACACCCTCTTCGCTGCAGCCATGTGCTCTGGTCGGTGTCTCCCAGGAGCAACATAGCGTGCGAGAATGCTAAGAGGGTATGCAAGGTCAGGTCGTGTGCAGGTCATCAGGTACATGAGGCAGCCAACAAGCTCTGCATACGGGCCACTCGAATCTACGGACTCATCCGAAGGCAGAGCTGAGAGCGAGTGGCGAGTAGGCAGAGGAGTGGCCTGAGGCGAGGAGTACGTGAAGCCGAAGCGCTGAAGGACCTGCTGCACCATGTGTGACTGAGTCAGGGTAATGGTGCGGCGTGCTCTGTCCCGGGTGATCTGCAAGCCAAGATAGCTGCGCAGTTCACCCAGGTCAGTGCACGTGTGTCTCTTCTGCAGCTCGGACTTCACGTAGGCGAGTCCAGCAGTGTCAGCTGTGGCAAAGACCAAGTCGTCGACGTACACGAGGATGTAGAACGGCGGCAGAGAGGTGTCGGTGCGCAGAAACAGCGACGGGTCGGCAGTAGAAGGAGCAAACCCAAGTGCCGCGAGCGTAGTCCTCAGTGTGTCGTGCCACTCACGTGGCGCCTGGCGGAGACCGTAGACTGGACGCCGGAGACTCCACTGGGTACCAGGAGGGAAAGACCCAGTGAAGCCAGGTGGGCGACGCAGCCAGATCTCCTCGTGCAGGCTGCCCTGCAAGAAAGCTGTGCTGAAGTCGAGAGAGTGCAGCTCGTAGTCACGGTGAGCAGCAACGTGCAGCAGGACCCGAAGAGTGGTCATCTTCGGGGTGGGGGAGAAGGTCTGAAAGTAGTCAACCCCCTGCCGCTGACTGAAGCCACGAGCCACGTAACGCGCCTTGAAGACAGGCGGAGAACCCGGCGGCCGCTTCACCCTGAAAATCCACATGCCACTGACGATGTTCGCCCCAGGGGGGGGAACAGCGTCAACGTAGGTGCCTGTGGACTTCCAAGAAGCCATCTCTGCATCCATAGCTGCCTGCCACTGAGAGGAGTAGGGACCCTCTATCGCCTCCGCGTAAGAGCGCGGAGTCGGGATGTCTGGTGCATCCGGGTCTCCCTCAGGGGCTAGCAGTACAGACGCGAGACGAGGTGAAGCGGCGGCTAGACACTGGAACTCCTCCTGCCTGTCCTCAAGGACGTCCGTGCCAAGGGCACACTCACCCCCGACGGACGGAGGACAGGCGGACTCAGACTCAGTGACAAGACGGGCAGCGTAGTCTAGACGACAGCGCGCAGCAAAGTCGACAAGCTCAGTGACAAGGGCAGACGCAGCAGACGACTCGAAGGAAGGGTCAGTGACAGCTGTAGCAAGGAGACGCGTGACAGTAGGACTGGCAGCACGAAGAGAGTCCGACTCCGGGTCGGCAAGAGCAGGAAGAGAGGAAGCAGGAGGAGAAGGCAAAGGGGCACGCAGAGGAGCAGTGGACGGACGCAGTGACATCCGGTGCGTGCCAGGAACAGGAGGAGGACGCTGACGCGACCCGCGACCACTAGCGCGCTCAGTACGAACAGGCGACACAGGACGAGACGCAGGCTCACGACGCTCAGTAAGACCTCCAGTCGGACCAGTGTAGGGAGACGGAGCAGGCAAAGGGGAGGCAGGCTGTAGCTGTGGCTGTGACCGGACAGGCTGCGGACCCTCTAAGGGAGGAGGAGGAGGAGGCGGAAGACCAAGAACCTGCTGCAGGAGCGGAACGAAGTAAGGTCGGGGCCGCGCGGCGACACCAGAAACAGCAGGAACAGTACCAGCAGCCCCGGCAGGAGTACCCACTCCAGCAGCACCTCCAGCAGCACCACCAGAAGCTCCAGAACCTCCAGCAGCAGCACCAGGAGCACTGTCAGTCGGACCGCCAACGGCAGGCTCAGCGCCAACACCCTCAGTAGCACCAGCTCCAGGAGAACTCTCAGACCCAGCAGCTCCAGCACCCACAGTACGAGCACCGGCGGGACGCGAGGCAGCAGTACCCTCTGCAGCCGAAGAACCACCAGCACCAGCAGCACACCTCCAGCGCCTGGCAAACCACTCACGCAGCTCCTGCGGGGAGAGTGGCTCCCGGCGAGACGAAGCACCCCCAGGCACAGCACCCCCAGGCTCAGCACCCCCAGGCACAGCACCCCCAGGCTCGGCACCTCCAGGCTCAGCACCCCCAGACGCAGCACCCCCAGGCTCAGCACCCCTAGGCACAGCACCCCAAGGCTCAGCACCCCAAGGCTCAGCACCCCCAGGCTCAGCACCCCCAGGCTCAGCACCCCCAGGCTCAGCACCCCCAGGCTCAGCACCCCCAGGCTCAGCACCCCCAGGCTCAGCACCCCCAGACTCCGCACCCCCAGGCTCAGCTCCCGCAGCAGCACCAGAGTCACCAGTGACCTTGAAAGGCTCGACCGCGTCTACCTGGGACACACCTGAAGGGGCAGGACCCTGAGGGGGGAGGGGGACTACCGGGGGGGGACCTGGTACCAGGAAGAGCGGGGGTGGGGGGAGGGACGGAGTGCGGTAGGGGAAGAGGCGGTAGTAGGGTACCGACTCGTCGAACGTGACGTCCTGGGAGGACAGAACACGTCGAGAGGTGGGGTGGTAAAACTGCCACCCAGGGGCGTCGGGGGGGAACCCCAGGAAGACGCAGGGAGAAGCACGAGGGGACAGCTTGTCCGCAGACAGGTCGCGAACAAACGCCCGAGATCCCCAGACCCGGAACGCCGACGCATCGCCAACCTTCCCCGTCCACAGCAGGGCTGGGGAGGTCTCCGTTCGAGAGACCCTGGGGTGGAGGTTGATCTGGTGCGCAGCGTACCTGACCGCAAACGGCCACAGAAAATGGGGAGCAGCCGCATGCATCATGGACGTACGAGCGACGTCCATGACCATGCCAATGCGGCGCTCAGCAATCCCATTCTGCTGTGGTGAGTCCGGAAGCGTGAAGGTCTGACGGATGCCTCGTGCACGACAGTAGGCACTCAGGAGGCCAGAGGAGAACTCTCCGCCTCTGTCCGAGTGCAGACGCAGAACAGGGGAGTCAGAGCCAAAGCTCCTCCGAAGCTGGAGACGAGCTGCGCGGATCCAGTCGATCAACACCGCAGTGACCTCACCCTTGCTGCGCAAGGGGAAGACTGTGGTGTAACGCGAGTAGTCGTCAACCACCAGCAGGAAGTAGCGCTCCTGACCCTGTCCACGGACGCGGGCTGGGCCCCACACGTCCATGTGAAGCGTCTGCAACGGGGCCTCTGTCGGAGGAAACTGGGAGGAGTGAGGGGCAGCACGCTGGCGCCCCTCGACACAGGGGACACAGGTAGGGCCAGGGCCCGGAGGAAGGGGAGGGAGAGACCGGGGAAGACCAGACACAAGGACTCGCGAGGCCATGCCTCTGAGCCGAAGCAGAGAGGGGTGGCCAAGGCGGTGGTGCCAGAGGAGGGTCTCGTGAGACAGACGACGACACGAGCAAGGGGCAGACTCAGGACCAGACCTGGACGCTGCAGCAAACACCTGACCAGACGAAGGGACCCTACCAGACTCAGCACCTGGAGGAGAAGCAGTGGTCAGTGTGTACAGGCTCGACCCTGGCCGACGTGTAAACGTAGCCAGGTGGCGACCTGTATCCGCCTCCGTGCAGTGGGTCACCCGCTGACGAGCAGGGGTGAACTGGTGGACACCCGCATCCTGGAGGTCAGCACCACTCACCAAGTTCGTCGAGAACGAGGGGAGGTAGAGACCAGTCAGGGTGCCAGAGGGGGCCGCCGGACACGGGAGGACAGTGGAGAAGCGAGACAGGACAGGCCCCCCAGAGGGGTCAGCCAGGGACACCGCAACCGGCCGACTTAGCGGCGTGAGAGTGGTGCGGTCCCTAAAGAAGGAGCGAGACGCTCCAGAGTCAAGGGTGAAGGTGTGAGAGGCCGAAGCCGACACAGTACCTGAGAGGGCAGACTCACCAGCACCTGAGAGCACAGACGCACTGGCACCTAGAGCAGCAGCCTCACTAGTACCTGACGCGGCAGTACCAATGCCCGGGTCGGGCGGGAAACACCGGTAACAGTCATCCTCATCACTACCAGTCACAGCATACATAGCAGAGAGAATAGCATCAAAATCAAGATCATAAATAGCTACACCAGCCCTAGACAGCTCTCCCCAGCGGGGGATCTCAGCGGCCTCCGGAAACTGCTGACGCCAGGCGTCGGTCAGGCGGCCAAAGCAGCGGCGGGCTGTGTGGGCGCCTCCACACCTCTCCCCTGCACGGTCACCTGTGCGAAGAACGTAGGGGCAGGGACCAAGCGCACCACCACGCTGACGCTGCAAGTACCACTCACGGAGCTGTTGAGGGCCGGGGACGGTGCGAGAGCGCTGCTGCTGCTGTGGCTGCTGCTGCGGCTGCTGCTGTTGCTGCTGCTGCTGCTGGCGCTGACCACCCCCAGAGCTGCTCCGCTGGGACGAGCCACTCCGACCCCCGCCTCCACCGCCACCCCCGCCTCCACCGCCACCTCCGTCTCCACCGCCACCTCCCCCACCAGGACCGTCGCTCCCACCGCTCCCACCGCCTCCTCCGCTACCACCTCCGCCGCCACCTCCGCCTCCACCGCCGCCACCAGTACCTCCACTCCCGCCACCACCCCCACCGCCACCCCCACTCCCCCCGCCACCCCCACCGCCTCCTCCACCGCCCCCTCGAGCTCCACCCGCTCCCCTGCCCCCCTTGCTCTTGCCAGAGCGGCGTCTGCCGCTGGGGGCAGACGCCGCGCCGACCGACTCAAAACCAGTGAGGTCGGCCGCAGCGGCAGAGGCGACAGAGGGCAGCAGGGGGGAAGGACCACACCCCTCAAAGATGGGGGTGCGAGGGTCACCCCGAGAGGCCCCTACAGCGACAATACTCTTCTCAGCCGCTAGCAGGGACTCCTCAAGGAGGTCGACAGTGAGAGTGGTGGGACAGACAGAGAGAAACTGGTCCCTAACGACACGAAGGGACTCAGGGAGACGGGTGACGAGAAAGTAGAGGGTGATGTACATGGGAGGAGGGTTCGCAGCGCGGAACTCAGCAGGAAGGGCAGCGCGGTAGCGGGTGTCACTAGCACGGAGGTGGGTAACGAGGTCAGCGACAGTGGGAAAGGAAGCGAGGTCAGGGAAGAGAAACGGTAGCATGAGGCGGCTAAGGGTAGCGGAGGAAGGGGAGGAGTAGCGTGCAACTACAGCGTCGTACAAGGCCTGAGCGGACTTGCACTGACTAAAGTGGGCACGCTCAGAGGAAGGGAGGTGGCGACGCACAGCAAGACGTGCAGCAGCATCGCGGGTCGCCCACTTGGAGCGAACGGCAGAGTCAGCATCAGCAGGTGGGGCAGGAACAGCGCCAGAGACAAAGTCAAAAAGAGAGACCTCATCTATCGCATCACACAGTAAGTACAGCTGCAGGTCTTCAATCCAGACGGCAAAGTCAATGGCCCTCCCCTCAGCGTCAAAAGTAAGAACATTGGGGGTGGCCATGGCAGCAGCTGGATGTCTCACCGGGCTGGGAGAGTCGGGTAGGTCAGCAGCAGAAGAACACAGCTCAGGAACAGCAGCACGGCGGCTCGGGCGGCTCGGGCGGCTCGGGCGGCTCGGGCGGTTCGGGCGGCTCGGGCGGCGGCTCGGTCGCAGCTCAGCGGCGGCTCGGGCGGCGGCGGCTCGGCGGCGGCTCGGCTGCTGCTGGGCGGCTGGGCGGCGGCTCGGGCGGCTCCGGCTCGGCGGCGCAGGCGGCGGCGGCTCGGCGGCGGCCCGGGCGGCGGCTCAGGCGGCGGCGGCTCGGCGGCGGCTCGGCTGCTGCTGGGCGGCTCGGCGGGGCCGCGGAGCAGAGGGCGGCGGTGCCGCGTAGGAGAGGGCGGCGGGGCCGCGTAGCAGAGGGCGGCGGGGCCGCGTAGCAGAGGGCGGCGGAGCCGCGTAGCAGAGGGCGGCGGGGCCGCGATCGAGGGGCGGCGGGGCCGCGTAGCAGAGGGCGGCAGGGCCGCGACGTAGGGCGGCGGGCGGGCCTTCGAAGTAGGGCGGCGGGCGGGCCGGGACGTAGGGCGGCGGGGCCGCGACGTAGGGCGGCGGGCGGGCCGTCGAAGTAGGGCGGCGGGCGGGCCGGGACGTAGGGCGGCGGGGGCCGCGACGTAGGGCGGCGGGCGGGCCGTCGAAGTAGGGCGGCGGGCCACGACGTAGGGCGGCGGGGCCGTCGAAGTAGGGCGGCGGGCAGGCCGCGACTTAGGGCGGCGAGGCCGCGCGATAGGGCGGCGGGGCCGCAAGGTAGGGCGGCTCGACAGGCCGCTAGGGAGGGCGACACGACGGGCCGCTAAAAAAAAAAAAGGACGCGCGCCTCGGGGCGCGCTTCGGTGGGCCCAAGAAACAGTCCCTAGTAGGGGACCTGCTCTGATTCCATGTGAAAGAGAGAACGAGAATGGAATGACTATGAAAGAAGTGAGTACAAATAGGAAACCCTAATTGGGTTGTACCCCCTATGGGATACCCCACTATAGCCTACACAATAGTATAAGCTATATAGTTCTGACAGCCAGGCCCTTGTTCTTTTTATTTTGCACACGCCATGCCCTTGTTTTATTTTTTTTTTTCACACGCTAGGCCCTTGTTCTTTTTATTTTGCACACGCTAGGCCCTTGTTCTTTTTATTTTGCACACGCTAGGCCCTTGTTCTTTTTATTTTGCACACGCTAGACCCTTGTTCTTGCAATTTTGCATACGCTAGGCCCTTGTTCTTTTTATTTTGCACACGCTAGACCCTTGTTCTTGCAATTTTGCATACGCTAGGCCCTTGTTCTTGAAATTTTGTACACGCTAGGCCCTTATTCTTTTTATTTTGCACACGCTTGGCCCTTGTTCTCTTTATTTTTGCACACGCTAGGCCCTTGTTCTTGCTATTTTGCACACGCTATGCCCTTGTTATTTTTATTTTGCACACGATAGGCCCTTGTTTTTGCTATTTTGCACACGCTATGCCCTTGTTCTTTTTATTTTTCACACTCTAGGCCCTTGTTCTTGCAATTTTGCACATGCTAGGCCCTTGTTCTTTTTATTTTGCACACGCTAGGCCCTTGTTCTTGCTATTTTGCGAACGCTAGGCCTTTGTTCTTGATAGTTTGCACACGCTAGGCCCTTGCTCTTGTTATTTTGCACTCGCTAGGCCCTTGTTCTTGCAATTTTGCACACGCTAGGCCCTTGTTCTTGCAATTTTGCACACGCTAGGCCCTTGTTCTTTTTATTTTGCACACGCTAGGCCCTTGTTCTTTTTATTTTGCACACGCTATGCCCTTGTTTTTTTTTTTTTGCACACGCTAGGCCCTTGTTCTTTTTATTTTGCACACGCTAGGCCCTTGTTCTTTTTATTTTGCACACGCTATGCCCTTGTTTTTTTTTTTTTTGCACACGCTAGGCCCTTTTTTTTTTTTTTGCACACGCTAGGCCCTTGTTTTTGCTATTTTACACACGCTATGCCCTTGTTCTTTTTATTTTGCACACGCTAGGCCTTTGTTCTTGCAATTTTGCACATACTAGACCCTTGTTCTTTTTATTTTGCACACGCTAGGCCCTTGTTCTTGCTATTTCGCGAACGCTAGGCCCTTGTTCTTGATAGTTTGCACACGCTAGGCGCTTGCTCTTGTTATTTTGCACTCGCTAGGCCCTTGTTCTTGCAATTTTGCACACGCTAGGCCCTTGTTCTTGCAATTTTGCACACGCTAGGCCCTTGTTCTTGATAGTTTGCACACGCTAGGCGCTTGGTCTTGTTTTTTTTGCACTCGCTAGGCCCTTGTTCTTGCAATTTTGCACACGCTAGGCCCTTGTTCTTGCAATTTTGCACACGCTAGACCCTTGTTCTTGCAATTTTGCACACGCTAGGCCCTTGTTCTTGCTATTTCGCGAACGCTAGGCCCTTGTTCTTAATTTTTTGCACACGCTAGGCCCTTGCTCTTGCTATTTTGCACTCGCTAGGCCCTTGTTCTTGCAATTTTGCACACGCTAGGCCCTTGTTCTTGCAATTTTGCACACGCTAGGCCCTTGTTCTTGATAGTTTGCACACGCTAGGCGCTTGCTCTTGTTATTTTGCACTCGCTAGGCCCTTGTTCTTGCAATTTTGCACACGCTAGGCCCTTGTTCTTGCAATTTTGCACACGCTAGACCCTTGTTCTTGCAATTTTGCACACGCTAGGCCCTTGTTCTTGCTATTTCGCGAACGCTAGGCCCTTGTTCTTAATTTTTTGCACACGCTAGGCCCTTGCTCTTGCTATTTTGCACTCGCTAGGCCCTTGTTCTTGCAATTTTGCACACGCTAGGCCCTTGTTCTTGCAATTTTGCACACGCTAGGCCCTTGTTCTTTTTATTTTGCATACGCTAGGCCCTTGTTCTTTTTATTTTGCACACGCTATGCCTTTGTTCTTTTTATTTTGCACACGCTAGGCCCTTGTTCTTGCAATTTTGCACATGCTAGACCCTTGTTCTTATTATTTTGGACATGCTAGGCCCTTGTTCTTGCTATTTCGCAAACGCTAGGCCCTTGTTCTTGATTTTTTGCACACGCTAGGCCCTTGCTCTTGCTATTTTGCACTCGCTAGGCCCTTGTTCTTGCAATTTTGCACACGCTAGGCCCTTGTTCTTGCAATTTTGCACACGCCAGGCCCTTGTTCTTGCAATTTTGCACACGCTAGGCCCTTGTTCTCTTTATTTTGCACACGCTAGGCCCTTGTTCTTGCTATTTTGCACACGCTATGGCCTTGTTCTTTTTATTTTGCATACGCTAGGCCCTTGTTCCTGATTTTTTGCACACACTAGGCCCTTGCTCTTGCTGTTTTGCACACGCTAGGCCCTTGTTCTTTGCAATTTTGCACACGCTAGACCCTTGTTCTTGCAATTTTGCACACGCTAGGCCCTTGTTCTTGCTATTTCGCGAACGCTAGGCCCTTGTTCTTGCTTTTTTTTGCACAGGCTAGGCCCTTGCTCTTGCTATTTTGCACTCGCTAGGCCCTTGTTCTTGCAAGTTTGCACACGCTATACCCTTGTTCTTGCAATTTTGCACACGCTAGGCCCTTGTTCTTGCAATTTTGCACACGCCAGGCCCTTGTTCTTGCAATTTTGCACACGCTAGGCCCTTGTTCTCTTTATTTTGCACACGCTAGGCCCTTGTTCTTGCTATTTTGCACACGCTATGGCCTTGTTCTTTTTATTTTGCATACGCAAGGCCCTTGTTCCTGATTTTTTGCACACACTAGGCCCTTGCTCTTGCTGTTTTGCACACGCTAGGCCGTTGTTCTTTGCAATTTTGCACACGCTATACCCTTGTTCTTGCAATTTTGCACACGCTAGGCCCTTGTTCTTGCTATTTCGCGAACGCTAGGCCCTTGTTCTTGCTTTTTTTGCACAAGCTAGGCCCTTGCTCTTGCTATTTTGCACTCGCTAGGCCCTTGTTCTTGCAAGTTTGCACACGCTATACCCTTGTTCTTGCAATTTTGCATACGCTAGGCCCTTGTTCTTGAAATTTTGTACACGCTAGGCCCTTATTCTTTTTATTTTGCACACGCTTGGCCCTTGTTCTTTTTATTTTGCACACGCTAGGTTCTTGTTCTTGCTATTTTGCACACGCTATGCCCTTGTTATTTTTATTTTGCACACGCTAGGCCCTTGTTCTTGCAATTTTGCACTGGCTAGGCCCTTTTTCTTGATTTTTTGCACACCCTAGACCCTTGCTCTTGCTATTTTGCACTCGCTAGGCCCTTGTTCTTGCAATTTTGCACACGCTAGGCCCTTGTTCTTGCAATTTTGCACACGCTAGGCCCTTGTTCTTGAAATTTTGTACACGCTAGGCCCTTATTCTTTTTATTTTGCACACGCGTGGCCCTTGTTCTTTTTATTTTGCACATGCTAGGCCCTTGTTCTTGCTATTTTGCACACGCTATGCCCTTGTTATTTTTATTTTGCACACGCTAGGCCCTTGTTCTTGCAATTTTGCACTCACTAGGCCCTTTTTCTTGATTTTTTGCACACCCTAGGCCCTTGCTCTTGCTATTTTGCACTCGCTAGGCCCTTGTTCTTGCAATTTTGCACACGCTAGGCCCTTGTTCTTGCAATTTTGCACACGCCAGGCCCTTGTTCTTGCAATTTTGAACACGCTAGGCCCTTGTTCTTTTTATTTTGCACACGTTAGGCCCTTGTTCTTGCTATTTTGCACACGCTATGCCCTTGTTCTTTTTATTTTGCACACGCTAGGCCCTTGTTCTTGCTGTTTTGCACACGCTAGGCCCTTGTTCTTGCAATTTTGCACACGCTAGGCCCTTGTTCTTGATAGTTTGCACACGCTAGGCGCTTGCTCTTGTTATTTTGCACTCGCTAGGCCCTTGTTCTTGCAATTTTGCACACGATAGGCCCTTGTTCTTGCAATTTTGCACACGCTAGACCCTTGTTCTTGCAATTTTGCACACGCTAGGCCCTTGTTCTTGCTATTTCGCGAACGCTAGGCCCTTGTT